AGACCCCAGCCACGCTTATAAAGCATATGTGTCCCCATCCGGAATCCCCGACAGGAACTAATATTTTACTTTCCAACCTCGGGCCACTGAAAACTTCACTTAGTTTGCAGTTTGCAAGTATCGGGCAAAGGCTGTAATATGGTATTGATTGACCTTCGACGCTTCAGGTTATGGTTACGGACAGCTCGCCTTCACTGCCGGCGCAGACAGTGTTGACGGCAGCGCTTGCCAACCGGTGGTAATAGCGTGCACGCACACGTGAATTTGCATATTTCATGAAGGTCCATTTCGTTAACCACTGGTGCCCAGTACGATGTCACATTCAATGAAGGAGGGGTTGCCAGTCAAATGGTCACGTGCATGTTGCACGAAAAATTTGGTCTTGGGCGAAAATTTTGGTCTTGGTGAAAATTTTGGTCTTGCACAAAAAACTGATCTTGCGTGTGAAATCTTTTATCTTGCACAAAAATTTCAGTCTTATTAAAAAAATTTGGTCTTGCATGAAATTTAGGTCTGCTTGAGAATTTTGTTCTTGCATGAAATTTGGTCTTGCAGGAAATTTAGGTCTTGCATGAAAATTTTCATCTTGCATGAAATTTTGGTCTTGCACAAAAATTTTGGTCTTTTACACAAAATCCGATCTTGCATGAAATTTAGGCCTTGCGTGAAAACTTTGGTCTTACACGAAAATTTGGATCTTTCATGAAAATTTTGATCTTGCAGGCGAATTTTATTTTTGCTTAAAATTTTTGTCTTGCATGAAAATTTAGATCTTGTGTGAAATTAAGTCTTGCTTGAGTTTTTTTAGTGACCGAATATTTTCGGTCTTGCATAAAATTCTTCGTGTCTTGTAGTAAAATAAATTAGTCTTGGATGATTTCGTTTTTTCTTGGCCTTCAATAACTGTTTTGAATTAATTCCGCTTTGGCATTCCATACTCCACAGAGCCACGGGAATTTCAGGCCATCTGTGCACAGCAACTTGGCAGCCGTGCATTTTGAAGGAGTCCTTTTGGCACAATATCCATATGTTAGAGTGGCACTCAAGCACTTCCTTGGTCAAATAAACGATCTTCCTCTCATCGAGTCAGCAGTATAGGCTATAGATCGAGGGTCCCGTCAGATAAGTCTCGACTCACAGTTCTTGCATGGAGGAAGGACCTAGAAGGGGTTACAACTCTGGTACATCAAAGTGCTCGATGATCATCGCCGCCTGGTCAGACGAAAAATAGTAAACATTAAAAAGGCCTGATTACTGCCTGCAGCTTAGCCGGAAAAGTGGGGCCGCAATATCCTAGCATCCCTCTTCCTTACTCCGTGATCCTAGCAATATTTGTCGAGTTCTCTTGGCAATTATCTGCAACTTGTCGCAGTGACCGGGAAATAGAAATAAAATATCTAGCATTAGATTTACTTTTGCTTCGGAGTCCCGACAGTACTAGTCCAATTCCTCAACATTCCCATACTAGCTCGTGCCTTCAAGTAGGTTTGTACAGGAAAAGTTGTTCCTCTTACGCCGGAGATCTCTTAACTTAACTACACAAGAAAGCTCAAGTCATTCATGACGTCGGCTATGGGTCAGTGCTCCGCAAATTATATGTATTTCGCAAAGAGCCCGCTCGCTGTACGCGCATGGGTGTACAATACAGCGAACAAAGCTTCTATTCCACCATTTTTATGTGTGGAGCGGAGCATTCCTACGCATTTATGTGGCTCCACAGGTGAAAAGAGAACGACCAACACTTTCCATTGTATTTTGCGATGCGGATTATATTGGCGCCTGGCTGTCGGCTGGCTGTTTTGGTTTATTGTTGCTGCAGAAATCAGTTGGTGGTTGTAGCAGACTGTCTGTTGGTTGTTGGAAGAAAAAAAGTGGCGTCCAAAACGGTTTTCCAGAGCTACGGCTGGTCTATTGTCTACGTGTCTCCACGCAGTTCCAATGCCGCGAAGACCTAGACCTAACATTTCGGTTACATCAGCCGAAGCAGTCGTACACTGGGCGTGTAACGCAGAGTCGTAACTCGGCGTCTTTTAATTAGCTTCACTCTTCTTTCTGCCTTCAGTTATTTTAGTTATCTAGTCGACCATTTTGGACCAGGCCCCAGGCCATGGTCGAACTGCTGGTTACCAAAAGCCGGTTTCATCAGTTTATCAATACGGAGGGAACCATTCACATGAAAACATTTGTAGGAGATTTCAGATACCAAGTACGCAGCCAACGGTCAAATGAAACAATTAAATTTTCAATACTAGGTGGACTAGGGTCATTCGAGTGTTGCTGAATAAAATGCAAATTAATAAAAACAATTGGCTATTGATAGAATTTTTACATGTTAGCCTACGTTCCCAGAACAGGAACCACTCAATTTTACAAAGCAAGTATGTGGCCCCTTCCAATGGTAAAAAGCATTGCGCTTGGTTTTGCACGGACCGACTGAATCCATTACTGGAGCAAAGGCTTTGGAAAGACCAAGTCCAAGGCCTAGGCTTTGACCAAAGAGCCTCACGGCTAACCCTCAAGGCCAAGGTTAAAGACAAGACCCTCTAGTGTAAAAGCACTATGCCCCCCCATACAAAAAAATCAAACCGACAGTAACATTTATTCTTTCAAAACTGAGGACTTCAGTTAAATGCAAAGATGTGTTGTCAATTTTGTCTCAAATACGTGAGACGACTGCCTTTTCCCTTGTTCCGGTGGGATTAACACAGCAATCAAAATATGTTAGGTTAATGCAGACTTGTGTATGTGCATAATTTGACCTTTTATTGAGCCTAATAGAGGGATCCCAATACCCCAATCTTAATACGATCAGACGATTAAAAGTAAGGAGTCAAGACACAAAATACATAAAGGTATGTTAAATTCAGACTTTTCAGGCTGCAAATGTTTGTGGAAGGGTCTTTGAGGATGACTCGACACTTGAAATCAAAAGAAAAAATAACGACAATTGACCGCGAACAAACGTACCTGCGATGGCCATGTATCTTGTGCAGTGGGCGTGGTTTAAACTGAAATGGTATCACACTTACGAACTGGATACCGCATGTACTGTGTCGACTTCGCGGGCGCGCGAGGAAGTTCAACACAGAGAGCCTCGGTTTCGATGCGGATATGCGCAGACGCTGCTAATGTGAAATCCATCTATATCGTTTCCTGAGAGACGTATACTCGGAGCAGGATTAAGCAAGTCGTTAGCACAGATCAGAGGATGTTCTACGTACAGTTAAGCCCGAGATTATTCATACCCGTTCCAAATTCGAGTAACATAGACAACCGAAAGCCCGAGATTTGACAACCAAAAACCTTGAGGTTTGACAACCAAAAGCTCAAATCTTTCCCCAGATGAGTTTTTATAAGGGAAAGTACTCATTTCTGTGTGCCTGGGTTGACCAATAGTCTAGTTGAACTGTGTATCTATCCATTAAAACCGTATCTCCCTGGCCAGGTGACCGAAAGTCCGCGTCAAGTACAGAACATCATTTATATTTTCGTTTGGGGGAAGCAGCAACATGTCTTAGGTCTATCATGGCAAAAAAATGTGATGCTGTAAAAAGTGAATTCTGCACACGTGTAAGGTGTTGTCGCTTCTCTGTAGCAAAACAAGATTAATTAAGACCGGTCGTATGTTTGAAGGACCGCGAAATTTCAAACAATCTGCTTCGAAAATTAAAAAAAATCGATGTGCCTTGACGAAGAGCAAGGCTCTGAAATTGCAAGGCATTGATATCCCCAAAGGCCAAGGCCTTTATCTGTAAGCCTCAAAGCGAAGGCCAAGGCCATCAAATCGAGCCTTCAAATTCAAGGCTCAGCATCAAGGTAAAAACATCACTTACTTTAATGATGGGCCAGTGAATCCGTGAAACATTCATCACAATGCTTACCGCCAGGGGCCACCGTAAATCATGACGTTCCCAGGGTCGCTGGTCCCATTTATGACCAATTATAGTTTGGTATGACCAACGTCGCAATTGCATGTCGTCGACCATGTGGAAACAGATCTGGGGGCAAGGTCGCACCACTGGGTATCAATAGGCAGTTCCCTTTATCAATAGGGCACCGTGTACGTGGTGTAGCGTATAGGCACCGTATTCTCAGAGCACCCCAGGACTTTTTTTGCAGGGCCTACCGTGGGGTGGGGCTTAGTGGATCGGCCTCTTAATGGCTAATGCCTGATGATCTGACAATAGGCGCCCACTTTGAAAATCGTTCCGTCGCCACTGGATATCAGCAGTGATAAAACCAAAAACCCGACCTTCTCTTTGTAACAGTAATATTCAGTGTTATTGCGCATCACCGTCATACATATTCAACGCCAGCCAGTATCGGCTCTTGACATTCCATGCACTGATTTGTATCGACCTACGGAATTAAACATTATTTGAATAGCACCTGGATGTCCGGGTCTGTTCATGAGTAACTCTGACAGAAACAAAACGCGGCGTGCACCGGATTTATGCTTAGAATCTGACTTTATAAAACTTGACATGCTATAATGACCACCAAGACAGATTTCAGTCAGGCGTTGGCTTCAAGTTCTCTCATTCCTGCACAAAGCCCAGGTGCAAGAATCTCATGAATACCATGATAGCAACAGAGGAAATTGATGAATTTCCCTGCTTGTAGAAAACCTCAAAATCTCAAAATTTAATTATGCTACGCATTAAACATAATAACTTCCTTCGGATGTTTCGTATTTACATCACAAAAGCTCCCTGACGTCAAAGTGGGCATTTCTAAACAGTATAACGAAACTAAGTGGACGGAGAAACATGATTTATTTTACAAAATGGTTCAGCTGGAGAGCGTGACTGTATTGCGCGTGCGCACTGGTAAAAGGTACCTGTGACCAGCTCTGCTGCCTAAGATTATGATAGTTCGCGCCCAACCCTGTTGATCAGAGTAGGCGGAGCTAAATCAGAGAACATTCCCTCCGCATAATGGCATGCATTTTTGATCAGGCTTTTAAAATAATTATACAGAGGTTGAGTATAAAAGCCATTCCCCAATATTCACATATCAGAAAAAACTGAGAGGGCTTCCCAACTACCATGAGTGACAAAGGCTACAAGCGTAATTGGAGAGGGTTTGGTGGTGATCCATTTTTTGGCTATTTCGGCCTTGGTTTGGGGCACCATGATGGTGGGCGTTGCCCATTCCTAGCCGCTCACGGCCGCGGCTTGGGACACGGTGGTGGACACTGTCCGTTCCTAGCTGCTCATAGTAAAGCAGTTGGACACGGTGGTGGACACTGCCCGTTCCTTGCTGTTCATAGTCACGTCGGACAGGGTGGTGGCCACTGCCCGTTCCTTGCCGCTCACAGTAACGTCGCTGGTAGTGACCACTGCCCGTTTCTGGCCGCCCACACCCGGGGCTCTGGATACGGTGGCGGGTACAACCCCCTGCTTGCTGGCTTCAGCAATTGGTTCGGAGGTGGTGCTGAAAAGTACCCATTCCTGCGGAGTTTTTGCTACCCATGGGGCAAAGGAAAAGGGAAAGGTGACTTCAAAGTGACCTTGAAAGTAGCCGATTATAGCCTTGACGAGCTGGATATCAAGGTGCTTGGGCAAGAGGTGACCGTGCATGGTGAGTTTTCAACGTCGGGAAAAAATATCCAACAGGACGGGTATTTTTCGGCCGTCTGTTTGCTTGTCATTTTACTCTGCAGTACTACATCTCAGTCGAAGTTTTGCTTTGCAGAATTTGGCAGGTTGTGGTTGGACGGTCAGTACAATAGCAAAGGCATAATTCAAAAGATCTTAAAAATCTCACACAGCTATCAAAACAGCACTGACAGGCTTAAATAGTGTCTACTAAAGAGAAAAACAGCCTTTTCACTGCTAATAAGACGAAGGTGCATTTCGAGGAAAGACCCTGCTACAAACCAAATTTTGTCCGCTTTTATTTGAGCAAACACTGTGCACACTAAGTAATGGGGTTGCTTATTTCATGAAACAAAATTCCATAAAACAGACTGCCTGAGGTGTTACGATAGTTTTTTTTCTGTGTACCTGTTAGTGTTTGAGCAGGAATAATTCCTAATGTTAATTTTTTTCCTTGAATATATTCCGTTGTTCGGGTAAATTACTTCGGCATTCCTTTAATCACCAGTGTTGTGTTTGATTTCTTGCCATCAGGGAAGCACGACGGCCCGGACGAGACCAAGGAGTTCACCCGTCACTTCACGCTGCCGGAGAACATCGATCCCGAGACCGTGGCCGCGTCCCTGAGCGCCGATCAGGAGCTGATTGTCACCGCCAACAAAAAGGTCCCGGAGGGAGAGCCGCGCGCGGTGACCATCCAGGTTGGCGGAGGAGGATCTGGAGACGACTAGACAGCAAGAACGGAACGATGGACGACCCAATCCATCCTCAGACCTGAACATGGCTAAACTCGGGCAAGCGAACTGGCGAAAGAACATTCCTAGGTGAATTCTTCGAAACATAAAAGAGTAAAAAATGTCAACATTTGAGAATAATACATCCTACGTACCGTAATTCAACAGATACACTGCAAAACGACCCATGGAGCTATATATAAAATATTTTATACATAGCTCTATGATACGACCAGAATGTGACAGTTATTGTAGAGGTTTAATTTTTTTGAAAGATTCTTGGGGTATTCGAGGAAAACATGCATTAGAAGAAAGTTAAAAAGCATCAGGATGAGGTTGTGGTTTCTGAACAAAGAAATCTGCAAAATGCCCGACTTCATGACAAGCAACTTGAGATACAGATTTGCAGGTACACCCATGGAATCAATGTCTTTGGGAAGAGGTGTGGTTCTTTGAAGAACCGGTGAGCAGCTTCTTCCTAATGTCAGTTTTTACCGATATGTGAATTGTCGTATTTTTTCAAGTGGCTGAAAGAACGGTAAATCATGGAGTGTGTTGAGTTTATTAGACTCTATAGACAAGAAGAAAAAGCGTTGTGAACTTTGACCGACCCAAAGGGAAGGTCTTTGGTAAATTTTAGGACAATTCATTTCTCATTAATTATACTAGAAGAAAGACAATTCATATTTCAATAATTACATAATTTAGAAGAAAGGTCTAAATTTGACAAGCTAGAAGTAGAGTAAAATGCCTATTTTGATTTGACAGGCGAGGGTAAACAGTCTTGTCAAATTTAACAGGCCGAAAAAAAAAACTTTTCAAAATTTGGACTGGATAGAAGAAACATTAATTCTTGGGCGATTTTGACAAGCCACATGAAAAGTATGGAGTCAACTTTGACAGGCTGGTCTCACGTCAGTTTTGACTGCTCAGAAGAAAAGTCTCATGTCAGATTTAAAAGGCTAGGAGAAAAGGTTAATTCATTTTTGCAACAGAATTCCAACAGAAAATGCCCAAGTGATGGATTGTGTTACCCTTGGCATTACCATGGTTCGCGAGTAAAACAACCATATAATGAACAAACTCATGAGTCAGGGTTCCAGAGCAATGAAAAACTCCTTCTGGTTGTTTGCGTTGAGGAAGGACAAAGAGAGGTGGGGAGATTTCAAACAACAAGAAAGGTGTGGTCATCTACAATACTAAGACTGTTTTGTTAATTAATGTTATGCTCTATTTTGGTGTTGGAAATTAACATGTAGGCTAACGCGACATCTGGAAGCCTACGGTGGCAAGTGATAATTGTACTGGGTTTAAAGGTATAACGCAGATATAGGGCTTATAGAGAAAAATGTTTGCATTTGATTTCTTCCTGATAGCGAATTGTTAGAGAAAACTGTTACAAAACCTATGAACTTGTTACATACACTTTATGTTCATTTTTCTTTCTGTGTACTTTGCGAGCAAGAATTGAATGCTCTTTCCATCTGCAAACTCATGATTGTATATGCATAAAGGGACAGCCCTTAATATAAAGAACTAATACAAGCACAATTGATGAGGAATTCACTGTCGTCAAGTTTTGCTAATGCAAAAAATACAGCATTGTGACCTTTGACCCTTGAATAAATGATTAACATTTTTCCATTTATCAAAAACAAATATAGAAGAGATAAACATAATCACCGCGGTGGATGACAAATACAGGAGAAAGATAATCGATGACTCGCGGTGTCGTGTTGCTGGTAGCGACGTTTCGGCTGCTGGGGCTGACAGCCTTCATCAGGCAACTGATGATGTTGCCTAATGAAGGCTAGCAGCACCAGCAGCCGAAACGTCAAAAAACAAATATTTTATATAGAGGCAAAGTACCTTGAAGTTTCTGGAAACATTTGGTAATGCTTTCTTTTGATGTATGGTATAACTGCGATTGTTGGGTTGTTGGGTTGTTCGTTGGGTTGTTTGTTTGTTTGTTTGTTTTTGTTGGGATAGCGTGGCGTAGTGATTATAGCGGGACTGGTTTTAGTAAACTTGGCTTATGGGTCTTTTTATGGTATTATGGTATCTATATAGTAAAAATTTATAAAAGATACTGACTGCTCCGAGTGGTGTTGTAAAACTAGCCTTCCAAAGCTGCCACGGAATATGCTATTTTCCCTTGGCTTCGCCTCGGGAAAATAGAATTCTCCATGGATCACATCGGAAGCGAAGTTTTACTACACCAGGAGATTAAGCAGACGATATCTGTTATACAACAACTCGTCCACACATTCTGGTCTATTTATGCAGTAACTGATTAATTTGATCTAACCTCAAGCAAATATAAATCTATTTGAATAGGAACTTTGTTGGACCAATGCCAGCAGTTTTCGGATTTACCTTTCTCAAAATGTTTGAATACAGCTCTGTAGCGTAGCGCTTCGCGATGCGCACATCACGCAGACCAGGACGCATTCACACCACAAACGTAAGCGCACACATCACCAGTCATGCGCGGTAACCATAATTTTGAAAAGTATGGCAAATAATGGGCGAAACGATGGGTGGCAGCGTGTTCAGTGCAAATTGTGCGTGACGCACTGACATTTTTTGTATTTGTTTACATTGTGCGCCCCAAATACGTTCACTTTTTTTTGCTCTTCGGTACTACAATCTCTTTTTTTCAATAATGCCACACGCATCGTTTTGAATCTACATGGGAAATATTACGTGAATAGATAATTTTCTTCACAAGTGGAGAATGGCTTCGTGGGATTTCGGGGCTGGAATTCTGTAAAATTCCCTATGCCCAGGGGTGAATTTGTGCACAGTTTTGATTTTAGTCGCAGATCACAGAATAGTCCTGTAGTTTTAATGACTCTGGTGACATCTACGGGTGTAACGCCTGCGTTACATGCCTCTTCGACCAATAGGATGCCGTGTCTTGGAAAAATGCATGCGCACATTAAATTTGCGAAGCGCGTGTTACTGCGCGTATGGTGCCACCACAGTTAATGATAAAAATGATATGCATATGTACCAATAGAGTTCAATAGTTTACATAAACAAGGCTTATTGTAATCACTGTAATCATATGTAGAACTTGCTTAGTGGACTTGGTGATTTTTTGCCATATTATATACAATATATGCTTCTTTTTGCGCAAAGAGAGTGTTTTGTTGAGTTTTTTGGTGTTCATGTATTCTTACCACCCTACACATTTTTACAAATTTAGTAGGCCCTAGTTCAAAGTAACTGGCAACCACATGCACATGCACAATAAAGGCTGTAATTACTGGATCAGTGGAAACAGACACAAACGCAGCCAAAGAGAGGCCGGAGAGACAGAATGCAAAACGGGCTGGAGACGTGAACAGAAAATCAGGAAGGTGGTAGAAGCAAGAATGTGGATGGCAAATAGATTATAGACATAAAATCGGGGGTTTAAAAAAAGGTCATATTTTGTTCAAAGCCGGAATGGTGAAAACAGACGTCATGTGAAATCTCCACTGCCTAATAATAGACTCGTGGTCTTCAATGTTTCATTTCAGTTGCCATTTTTCTGCACGGTAGTCACGTACAGTGAGATTACTAAAGCTGGAGACGAAAAAGCTATTAGGAAAACCCCTTCCGTGTGGGCTCTATGAGTGCACCCTCGTAATTAGGCCAGAAATATGTCCGCCGAGCTCATTAACAAAAGTTATACACTCAAAATATTCCATATTAGAGGGTCCTGAGAGCCTTGGAACTGAGGAATTGAAGAAATATGAGATTGGACCTCTGGGCCGGACACGGGGCTTCCAATTCTGAGCAATTTGGATGCAATCGGGTTTGAAAGTAGCACTATTTGAGCCATTTTGCCAAGTGAGGGTTTTTCAAAATGGCTACTTTTCTGGACAGGGACATTTCTGCATTTTAGGGGTGGTCTGCTTCTGGTGAAAATTTCTCAAGAATTCATTGGTCAACCCCCTGAAAATTGAAAGGAAAATGAAAAAGGACATGTGGAACATCATTTTTCTGTGCAGCCTAAACACCTGTGAGAGTTGTATTTTAAAAATACTCGTGAAGTATGGGGATTTATCACTGCTGTCTATGGGAATTTATTTGTAGTGGTGCACCCCTATGTAATACGGGCAGTTCACAATATAGTGCGCCTCCAAGAGTTTGCAACGCGTTGGCCAATTATGATGCGCGAAATCTGTCGACCCGGTGCGCGTTTGGAAGGGGTCGACAAATTACACGCGTTGGGATTGGCCAACGCGTTGCAAGGTCTGGGAGGCGCACTATTCTGAAACGTCCGTATTGGCTGATGCATTCCGTATAGAAGGGTACATACAGTACATGTACCGCGTTCCTAACAGGCCACTGGCAGCATGGAGGAAGGGTTGCAACTCTGGCACATCAAAGTGCTCGATGATCATCGCCACCCGGTCAGACGAACAATAGTAAACATTCCAAAAATGCCCAATTACTGCCTAAATCTTAGTCGACAAGTGGGGCCAGTAATAACGTAGCAATATTTGTGGTTTTTTTTTTGCAATTACTTAATACAACGCAGTGACCAGGAAATAAAAAGAAAAAAATCTAACTTTACATTTACCTTTGCCGTCGTGAATAATCTTTCAAAGATTTTGATGCACTAGCTTAGCCGAACATTTTGTTGTTCAGTGGGCTACGTACGACATTCACATGAATTTAGATCCAAACCAGTTTGGTAAAAGAAAAGGGGTGTCAACAACTCATTATCTTCTTCAGCTTGTAGACAATTTATGTTCTCATGCTGAATCCCCAAGAAGTTATAGTACGTTGGTAATTACAGACTTTGGTAAAGCATTTGATCGTGTTGACCACAATGTTCTCATCCAGGATCTGCTCTCACGCCCATCATTAATTCCGTGGATATGCAACTTCTTAGCTCAGCGATCTCAATGTGTCAGGTACAAAAAATGTGCTGTCTGACTTCAATGTTTTGAAGGGTGGTCTTCCCAAAGGGACAAAATTTGGCCCGCAAGGATTTTTGGCTAACTTCAATGAAGCTGTCAATTCTGGGAACACTATTAATAACAAGGTTCTGAGTCTGACATATGTTGATGATATGACACTTGTTAAGAATTGTTTAAAAAATCATCCAACAAATATCCAACAAGTGTTAGACGAATTTAGTGAGTCGGGCTTTCCAAAATCATATGAAAATTAACCCTGAAAATATGAAAATGTTGCAATATGAATGTGAGCTTCATGAAAAAAATCCCCGGTTTCCATTACTGCAAATCATAGATACTGATCTTCAGATGGTTGACTGCGTGAAGATTCTCGGTGTTCTGGTTAGTTCTGACCTCAAATGGGACAAACACGTCGATCATATTTATCATAAGGCTAACAGTAAAATCTTCATGCTTAAATTGTTGAAATTTAACTTGCCTATTACCGATCTGTTACTAGTGTTTGGGGGTTACATTCGGCCACTTATGGAATATGCCACACCAGTTGGGAATGCAGGCTTAACAACTCGTGAAGGGAAGTTGAAAAGCATTTAAAAACGTGCACTCCAAATCATCTTAGGTATGTAGTGTTCAGACTATGAATCAGCTCTAAGTGCAATCTTCTGTCTCTTCAAAATCGTTGAAGAGACCTTTGTTCAGAGACCTTTGTTCAGACTTAACAGTCTTCCAATACATTCCATACGTGGTTACCCCAGTCGAGACATAGTTAAGTGCAGTATCAACTCAGAAATACCATAAAGCTGTCCATATTAGCATGCAAGACCAAACGTTACAAGAATAGTCCCATCCCATATTTTGTAAGTCTGCCGAATCATTAATCTGTTAAGGGTTGGTTTTGATTGATTTGTTTTTGCGGGCATTGGTTATAACAGTGCAATTTTCTGTTTGTATCTTCAGTGATTTTCATTTTCTGATGTTGTTTTGTGTTTATTTTAGATGAGATGCGTCTATTTTAAATTGGTAATGCTCTAATGTTTTATTCATTGAACAGTTAAGCTGTGTGAACTGAGGCAATTTAGCCTGCGGGCTACAATCACAGTGTTTGAAATAAACCATCAATAATAATCATTATCATCCATGCAATGTCTGTAATTGTGTCACTCCAAAACATCGGTTTCCACAGTCTTTGTACGAATTTGGCTGAGACTGACCAACAAAATGTTGACCACCACAGGACAGTCAAGTTCGCGATAAACAAAATGCTTTGTTTCATCACCAAGGGTGATCATGAGATCCCATAAATACTTTTTTATGTAAAATTCCGTAATAAAAATTAATCAAATAAAATGCAAAATCTTATAAACAACTTGGCTATTTATTTCCCAAAATAGATCAGACGAAACCGTTCTTTAAGGGCAATAACTGCATATGAACACTTCGGGCACACAGCCTAATAAAAGCAACTGCGCAAGCATTAAATTTGATGTTATTGTCAGATCATACCGAGCACCAACTTCCTATACTGCAGTACACAACGTTTTAAGAATGCCAGATCACCGACGAACAATCGCGACGATGATCACGGGGTACGAAGGTGCTTACGGTTGAGAAACGGGTGGTGTGCAGCAACCATTCGCTATGCTCTGGCTACGGACATATACCGGGTATGCCAGAAAGCGATAATTGGTCAGATGCTATAAGCGTGGTAAGTTGCAAATCCGCTAAAAATGCGGGGCGAATTCAATTCGAACGGACCACCAGAAACAGACGCAATATCGCGAGGGATGCAAGCTGACTGCCGTCGCAAATAATGGGGAATAGGCCACCCCAAAATACTGGACTGTAGACTCGGTTCACAGAATATCTCTCCCATAATTAGATTGGGCGCTCAAGCACTTCCCCGGTCAAAACGGTTTTTCTCTAATCGCTCCAGAAACGAGCCACCTGTAAAGATCGAGGCTCCCGTCAGAAAATCTAGAAACACAGTTCTTGCTTGGAAGGTCCGGTACTAGCCCGATTCCTCAACACTGCCATACTCCTGCCTTTAAGTAGGTTTCCTCGTGTTTATCAGAAATTATTGTGCAAAAAATTATTGTGCAAGCAAAGTTGTTCCTATTACGCCGGTGACCTCTGAAGTTGTACACAAGAAGGCTCAAGTCATTCATAACGTCCGCCTTGGGTATTTACCCATCCAGCATGTTATAATGTATTTTGCATAGATCCCGCTAGTCGTAATAATGGGATGATTATTTACATTTTTTTTAATTAGTTTTGCTTGGAACAATTTTTTTTTTCATGTGTGGAGCGGAGCACCCCTACGCATTCATGTGGCGCCACACATCATAAAGAGACCAGCCAACACTTTCCATTCCATTGTGTTTTGCGTTGCGGATTATGTTGGCGCCTGGCTGTCGGCTGGCTGTTGTTGTTTTTTTTTTTTTGGTTTATTGTTGCTAAAGAAATTGGTTTGTTGTGGCAGCTGACTGTCTGCTGGTTGTTGGAAGACCAAGGTCTTGTCTGAAACGGGTTTCCAGGGATACGGCTAGGTCTATTGTCCACGTGTCTCCACACATTTCCAATGGAGCGAAGACCTAGACCTAGCTGGACAAGAGATTCGGGTGCAGCCCAAGTTGCTGCTTGGTGGTGGCGAAAGTTGGTGCTCATTGGCCGATTTTTGCAATGGTGGAAGTTGTTAGCAGTATGTTCGTGGAAGTTGATGGCTGTTTGTTGGTGGTATAGAAGTTGATTGGTGGCGTAACCGCACTCAGACACATCGGATTAATAGAAAGAAGCAAAGACGAGAGACGAGAAAAGAAGTGAATTGAAACGAACGTTCCACCACTATCGTGGAATCTCGAGCAACAACTTACAAGTAGGCCTACATCGTGGGTTCTAGGTACTAAATGCAGTGATGGCGCGCCGTACCTGCATCGCGACAAAAATCCACGTCAGCAAATTGTTTTGCTATATGTTTGAGTGCAGTGAGGAAAGAAATTAATGCAACATTTCGGTACACGGGGCGTGTAACGCAGAGTCGCAACTCGGCGTCTTTTAATTAACTAGGTTATCTTTTTTTCTGCCGTCAGTAAAAATTATTTTCCTGCAATAGAAGCGCAATAATGAAAGGAAAAAAATACAGGTCCGACTGTCTCGAAAAGGAATGAAAAAAAAGAGCAGTAAACACTGTCCAGGGCATGTCTCAATGAACATGGAACGACGACATGTCTGGGCAAATACGGAAAATCAATCGATCATGTCACGCGCAACGCACTTGATAGGAAAAAAAAAAACAAACGGGGGAGGTTGACCTATCTTTCGTGAACCCACACAACCAGAGACAGACTTCTAGGTGCCAGAACGACTGTCAGAAAACCTTGACGTTGGGTGAACAAGTATCCGTTGGCAATGATAAACAACCGCGGCGTACATTAGCAGCTTTCGCTGACGCTCTTGACACGAGTTGTGCGGGTGTGTACCCGGGCCGGCAATGCTTCTGGCGGTGCCATCTTTAACCCCTTCACACCGGGATTCTTTTGACCGTGACTGCTTTAAGAAAATCGAGCCAAATAAAAACAGCCCTATGGGACAATGAATGTTAGGGTTTCCAAAGACTTTCGACGGCAAGAACAACTGAAAACTTCGCAAAGGGCTTGACGACCGTCGCTTGCGCATGGAGAGATCCCTCTTATTTAACTGAGGTTGTTCATGCTGAATACAACGGCAGATCCAGCACCGTAATCTTGGGATGCAAATTTATTTTTTTGGGGGGGGGAGAAATTTTTGCATTTCTCAGTCTCAAATATGAGACCAAATTTTTGGGCTTTTTAGTTTTGCAAAGGGAGGTGAAATAGGAGCTGGGCCCCTCCTGTAAATTAATAAACAAAAAAAAGAAAAACATGTTGGGCCATTTTTTGGAGACGACACCCCCGTCGACGGCTGGACAGTAGTCGTCATGTCCAACATACAGCCAACATACAACGTCGAATCTTCTTTCCCCCAAAAGCTGCGGGGGACGGGGTTTTTTAACCCGTAAATTCTTCAACCTTGTAACTGCGCTTTGACCCAACCAAGCACGACGCATTAATACATCAACCGCGGAAATAAAAAAAGCGTAATACCACGATGTACACGTGTGGAACAAATAAGGAAAATTGTGTGTATTTGCACGTCAAGTTGAGTGACACCAACAAGGTCACGGCAAAACTGCTTGCTCGCTCTAAATAAACTAGTGGTAATGACTTGCTCTCACCCATCGCCACCGGCTATGGTGTGATATAATGAAGGACGAGGGAAAAAAACCAGACAAGATTGTATAAACGTACCGAACTGACGTCGCGAGCGACAAGAACTTTCCCGTTGCCCGCCATTTAATGTACCTTTGTTTTCACACAAGCCGGCAGATCTTAACCGTGACAACACCCACACACCAGAATCCTTCAAACTGTTTTTTTTTTTATTGCCAAGTGCGTGCTTAACGAAATTCTAAAGACGACAAAGGGTAGCGCCTCCTCTGAAAAGCCACCTCAAAAAAAAAAAAGGTAATCCAACTCTTAAGGGGTTAATACGACAATACTAAATGCCCTTCAACAAGGATCATGGTATCACTTTAAAGTAGAGATTATGAGTGTTCAAATGACACAAAGGTCCAGGGCCATGCATGATTGAGCACCATCACCTGGAATTTCTAAAGGGTGCAAAAATATGGTTGGCTCACTTTCATGTAAAAAAAAATCAACACAAATTGGTCCTGTTCAAGCTGGTTCCATGTATTTCACACTTGTTAACATTGGCTCGGATTGTTTTCTTTGCTGGTGTTTCTGTCTCTGAATGCTTCTCGAAAAGCATCCCGTGTGGCTTGCACACTTTTAGTTTCTTGAAATGTCTTTTACCATAAAAATTCTCTGCTGAGTGGTTAGCTGCCCATTGTGATACCAAGCTTGTTTGACGGCCAGAATGGACACACCAGGCCTTTTGAATAAACCCCATTGCATAACCAGGCAAGATATTATTCACAATCAAGGTATGACAGTTGGTCAAGTGAAATGCAACGAGGCTCAATAAGTGAACCAGTGCAGTTTTGGTGCCATGATTTCAATCCATTGGTATGCCCTTAAGCAATAACATGATCAGACAAGAAAGGCGTCATTTGAAAGCTCTTATCTTGAGTTTTCTGGCTGTGGCCCTCAAAATGCTGTGTGAGATGCCATATAGCTATATTAATCCCTTAAAGTTGGATTACCTTTTTAAACACCCTGTAAATGGGGGAAAATTCATATAAAAGTATAACCAAAAAAACTACAACAAAAAATGATAATCTCTAATGAGATGTGCAAAAGAGCTTATTAAACGTACCAAACTGACGTCACGAACGACATGAACTTTCCCGTTGCCCGCCATTTAATGTACGTTTGTTTTCACATAAGCCGGCAGATCTAAACCAAGACAACAAACACACACCGGAATCCTTCAAACTGTTTTTTTATTGTCAAGTGCATGCTTAACGAAATTCTAAAGACGACAAAGGGTAGCGCCTCCTCAATTTTCAAATCTTCAATTTTATACAATACATGTACCTGCATAAATTCCTGTTATCTGATTGATGGATCGTTGATCACAAAGATGATTGTACTGAGTGTTTGTTTAAAAAGTTAATCCAACTCTTAAGGGATTAATACGACAATACTAAATGCCCTTCAGCAAGGATCATGGTATCACTTTAAAGTAGAGATTATGAGAGTTCGTTCAAATGACACAAAGATTTCTTGTCCAGGGCCATGCATGATTGAGCACCATCACCCAGAATTTTTAGGGTGCAAAAATGTGGTTGGCTCACTTTCATGTCAAACAAAATCAACACAAATTCTCATTTAATGAAAGATTATTTATTCATTTAGCACACATTCATCAACAGCCGTCCTGAGTGACCTCTGGTCCTGTTCAAGCTGGTTCCATGTGTTTCACACTTGTTAACATTGGCCCGGATTGTTTTCTTTGCTGGTGTTTCTGTCTCTGAATGCTTCTTGAAAAGCATCCAGTGTGACTTTCAAACTTTTAGTTTCTAGAAATGTTTTTACCATACCTTTACCTCTGCTGAGTGGTTAGCTGCCCATTGTGATACCAAGCTTGTTGGATGGCCAGAATGGACACACCAGGCCTTTTGAATAAACCCCATTGCATAACCAGGCAAGATATTATTCACAATCAAGGTATGACAGTTGGTCAAGTGAAATGCAACGAGGCTCAATAAGTGAACCAGTGCAGTTTTGGTGCCATGATTTCAATCCATTGGTATGCCCTTAAGCAATAACATGATCAGACAAGAAAGGCGTCATTTGAAAGCTCTTATCTTGAGTTTTCTGGCTGTGGCCCTCAAAATGCTGTGTGAGATGCCACATAGCTATATTAATCCCTTAAAGTTGGATTACCTTTTTAAACACCCTGTAAATGGGGGGAAATTCATATAAAAGTATAACCAAAAACTACAACAAAAAATGATAATCTCTAATGGGATGTGCAAAAGAGCTCATTAACACAGGGTCAGACTCAAACCTCAAACCTGCTCACACACTCAGTGCGGAGTGGTGAAGACGTTTGCACTCGTTAACAGAATGTCATGGGCTCGAGTTACATCCAATCAGGTGTACAGTTCTCCCCTAGCATTTGAAAAGCACCGAATTTTCAGCGCTTTATAAATCACATTTGCAGAAGGTAAAAACAGATTTATTCAACGAGTGAAATTGAACAAAATGAGATTGGTACTTTTGTACTCATTACTTCTTCAAGTAAGTTCTTTTCACAGGTTTTTGGTCCCCACCACTCACGTGTACAAACTGCCTTGCAGAGCCCTTCGCTCAACCAGTTTTCTCAGAATGGCATCAGCATGCGGATTTTCCTGTAAGCGAAACACAATAGACACACACACTGAAGCCTGTCGCCTAGACTGAGACAACCGAGTGCTTCTGTCATCGCCCTGGTGGAACCATGTTTGCCTCATGCGGTGGAAAGGGGATTTACGCACAGATGGAGCCTGAGGGTGTTTGTGCTCTGGGGCGAGACAGTTTATCGCAACAATGCCTCGGCACATCCTGGTGAATGAATGCGGGTACTTTTGAAGTTTTGTAAGAAAAGGTTATGCTGACCTGACACTGCCGCATAAAAATGCGATCCCACTGCCAGGAAGGACCTTCACGGAGGCATCGGAGGCCTTGGCGCCCCTGGTCTTTGCCTCAATGCCCATTGAAATGTCCCCCATAGACAAGATGAATTTCTAATACAAGCGCCCTTTGCAAATGAGAAATCGCCTTGCCATTCTAGAACAAAATTCCTGCCCTGCCACTTCAAGGTGGAACGGGGAAGCAACTTGTCACACTTCCACAAATGCTCTATAAAGTCAACAAATCTGCAAAAACCATTTAAATGGTGAGCTTTGTCATTTTGGTGCGTATCAACTTCAAATTGAGCTGGACACTGGCGTATTTTCAAAACTGTTTAATTTGTGATTCTAGACAACCTAGGTTCAAGTTGGAGACAATATCGAATCATAAATGGAATATATCTGATAGGGGTGTGCATTT